TCAGCAGGATTTGGACCAGGTTTCAAGTGATTTAGTGACTTTAATGGACTTTATTCTAGGGATTATAAAATCATGCCTTGTAATGTTTAAATTGGGGTTATAAAAAAAGGTAGGAACTGAACTGAAGCATTATTAGAAAAATGTCATCTGTAATAAATAAATTAGGTACAATAGCTGAAGCAAGGCTAATACTAGTATTTACAACAAAATTCAGGGCAGACTATGAATAAGAGTATTGATAAATGTCTTGTTATTAAATGGTAATGTATTTATCTATGTGTTAGAGATCAATGGAATATACAGGTGGTAACAAACATGCCTTAAACCAGACATGTCATTATCTAGTTTGGTGTGAACAGAAAGTTATGATCTGGTTTTATTAGTACTTTTGGATTGTCCCTTGAACTAATTTTGCAAAACTCCCAATATGATTGCCATCCACGAGTTTTATTTAGATCTCAGTGAGGAAAATTACTGCAATCTTTTGCTCTTCAAATGTACATTCTGAGTCAGATATTACTTTCCCAAAAACTTTCCAATAGGATTTACTGGTAAAAATCTAATTGCAAAATCAAAGTCTTTGTCTGTTAAAATAGTGATATCTTTCAGCACACAAAATAAGGGCAGAGTGCATGTAATGATTGAAGCCATACTTCTAGTGGTACTTCCCTGTCAAATAGATATTTCTGTTATTTGTTTCAATATTTCTCATGTTCCAAATCATGGGACTTTCCTGTATTTGTCAGCTCCTCAGTCATCTGGCAGGTTTTCCTAGCTGTTTTTTTCCAGTAACCAGAATTCAACGATATTACCAAAATCCTTTCCAGAACCCCTTTGTCTGACTTCAAATAATTCTTGCACAGCCTCCTGGGGTGCTCTGCAAAGCTCAGCAGCCGTGTGTGACACCTTTCCTGCCTCACCCAGACTGGATATGCACCTCTGTCACTGCAGCAGCACATGGAAAAGGGAAAGATGGATGAACCCCATCGGATTATTTCTACATGAATAAGGTTTTCTTAGCTAAATAGAGGCCCTTTTCATGTGAAAAAATCCCTTGCAGACTATTGGCCTGTGCAACTACATTTGTGAAGCTTTCAAAAAGCACGTTATTGACTTGTTTGTGATGCATTGTTTCTACATTTTATTATATAAATGTGTACTTAGGAGCTTTTATAAAATGCAGATTATTGATCCAGTCCTATAAGTATTTACTCAAAGTTTTAAAATTCCAATTATTTGACTTGATTGCATGGCTATTCATTCTAAAAAAATGTAGCATATCTGTATTGGGAATTAAAACAAAACAAAAGTTCACAGTTGCCTCAAAAAGCTGTTAACATTACTTTTGGAGTAATTTCAAACTTCACAAGTTGTGTGTTTCTCTTATAGTCTAATGACTTACAAAATTTTGTGTTTAAAATATGATTTTTTTTTTTTTTTTACTAACAGGAAGAAAAAAAATTAAATATGTTTCAGTTCTAGAACTTGTTTTCTAAGTTTCAGCCCAGAGCAAAATTTTTACGGTTGAGTTACAAACCTCTGAAAATAGGGGTTTACAATGGAAATACTGACACCACTTTAACTATGGCAGCACTGGCAGAGCAGTGTAATATACACTAGAAATAGAAAGCAAGATTAGAGATGACATTTAGGACAGGAGGCCTTCTCCAGGCTGTGGGAAAAATAACTGTGGTCTATTTTTTTCCACAGCCTGAAAAAGGCCTCCTGGTCTAAGTGTCATCTCTAATCTTATTTCTCATTCATACCATGCATTTAACTAACTCCTTTTTTAATTATTATTGGCAGCAATTTGTTGCAGTTTTAAGTACCAAGCCATGTCCAAATCACAGCTTCCCTGGGCAGCCCATGTCAAGGTGCTGGGGAGGGTACCAAGGACACCGAGGGCTTTGCTGGTATTTCGGTCTCCGTGATGCGCAGTGCCACAGGTGGCTGTGGGAGCCAGCCCTGCTGCTCTGGGTCAGGCAGGGCAGAGCCCTCCCAGCTGTGTACCAGAGCAGGGCAATGCAGCACTGAGCACGCTGCAAACTGCATGTTCTAAGGGCACAGTAAAGCCTGACAGTAAAATGCACTTACCCTGGAGTGTCTGGGGCAGCAGCCAGGACTGGCAGGTACTCAGGTGCAGTGACTTCCACCAGCACTTCTGGAGCAGGCCACATTTCCCACCACAATTTAGCCTTGATCCAGGGCCCTGAATACTCCAAAGTGACAATGTCCTGAACACTAAGAAATAATTTGGTTAGATGTGACTCTGGACTAGGCTGCCTCCACCACAAAGCCGTGGTGTTAATATTGTCAGGAAGATCCCTCTACCAGTGGGGTTCCCATGAAAGGAGGGACTTGGTACTGTCTTCAAAAGGTAGCTAAGCTCAAAGGATAAGTTTCAGATTTCTCCAGGTTAAACACACTCCTTTTTCCACACTTAGGCATCCTCCAACTCAAAGCTGCTTCAGTTTTGTATTCACTGCATTAAATGATAACTCCCTGTATACATTTATGGCCTTTTAATACCTACTGCGCCACAGCATTGCTTTTCAGTGGTCTTGCAATCTCCATTCCCAGTGTGGGGTAAAAAGGAGCAATAAGGAAAGAAAATGCCACTTCAGAACAAATGCAATTGTAATTACTTCTTGCTCCCTCCAGAAGAATGCCAGTAGGAGATCCATATCCTGAGGGTGACCAGACAGACAGAATGCATCTATCCTGTCTATATTGCTTGAATGGTCAAGGTAGAAACTTATTCTACATTTGAACTGCATTTTCAGTACTCATCTGATCAATTCTTTTTATTGCTGTACTCACAGTAGACAACGATACTGGCAGCTACTGCCCATTCTCCAAGAAATGTATCCTGCAAAGCAATAATAGAGGCAAATTTATTGCTGAAGCAATTGCCTAGTGAAGGTGTTTCATTCCAGCACTGTGGAAGCTGGTATTAGTGCAGGGATAAACACGACCTGTTCTGTGTGTACATGTAAGTAGGTGTATAATTTTGTTTGTAAGCACAGTGTCTTCTTGGCAGGTACTCTGCAGCCAGCAATTGCCAGCTGCTAAATGTTCAAAGAAACATGATTTGAATTGTTCTCCACATTGGGAGAGTAGCCAGGAAAATGCATTTAATATAATCAGTGGATTCAATTCCATTGACATCAGAGATATAGAAAAATTTGTTTACCTGTGAACATCTTTTGGATTTTAATTTTCAGAAAAAGCAATTAATAACAACAACTATTCTCTCACATAAATCATATATCATAAAACCAGAAAAATTGAAATATGAATTATCTGGTGAAGTTGAGCTTTCATGTTCATTTTTCTACAAGATTTTGACATTGTTATTGGCCCAATACTTCATTCTACTTCATGTTGTTTATAGATCCAGGAAAATGTCATATAGTTTCTTTAATCCTTACAAAATATAAACACTCTTTTAAAAATGTTCTCTTCTGTGGTTAGATCTCTGACTGAGCAGTACTTTTTACACAAGCCAAATGCATGATATAGTCATTTGTCAAAAAGTAGCATGAAAATTTGAAATGTCATTAATTACTGAAGCTGCTGTGAAGGCTGGCAACCACAGTACTTGTGCACGGGCAACCACTGGGACACAGAATGTTCTTCCAAAAGCACCTTCTTGGTCCTATAGGGCTGTGAGTGTGGCACATGAAGAAGGGGTGGATCAAAAGTCTCTGCTGGGAAACCAATTCCTGAACATGGAGTGCTGCTCCTGTCAGAACACTGTTACACCAGCTACTCTGTCTCACTTGTGACAGCCCCTAATCACATTTTTGGCCAGAAGAGCCAGGCTGGAAGTTTCTGAGACAATTCTCTACCCACAGAAACTGTGAGGAGTTAACTTGAAGGAACTCTGTTACAAAAGTGCAGTGGTGTGAGCTGGCGCTGATGGCAATCTCACCTGGTCCAGACCAGTGTGAACCACCATAACTCTGGCTTAAATCATTGAGTTTCCATGCAAAAACCAATTTCACTAAGCACACAGTATTGCACCTTCTGTTACCCTGGCACAGCGTTGTGTCCAGGTGATTCTATCCCACCCAAACTGAAACAAAAATTGGGGCTTGCTGTTTCATAAAGGGAAGGAGAAAGTATTTACAAAACAAAGCCGAAGGCTGGCAGGCATGGGTCTGCAGCTTTCAAGATCATTCAAGCCATGCATGTCCTTGACCCAGAAAAAAAATTATATTCTCTTTCTAGGGATAGTAAGTGATCTTGGAAGGACTGTGTCATTGGGTCTACATGAAACCAACGCTAAGTCTTCTGTTTGCTCTTGAAACATTTTGTGGATGATTCTGAACATATATGGTACCACTGCTCCCCCCCATTATCAGAGAGCATATTAACTCTGAGCTGATAACATGCAAGGGAAGAGAGAACATGGCAAAATTTGCCTAGGTTTAGCACTAGCTCTGAATTTCCAGCACAGAAAAATTTAAAATTCATTGCTGGGAAATTAAGCAAAGCAAACCAGCCTCCTGGCACAATTTGCTGAAGCAAAAAGTTCTGAGCCTCACACAACTCTGGGTCCAGCTTATCCAATTCCAGCAAAACTGCATGGCTTCATGCTGCATTTCTTCCTCTGAAAGTCAGTATTGATATTTCTTGGGGGTTTATTTCCTTCTTGTGTGCCATAGAGATGTGACAGTGAAAGCTTAGTTGCAGTGTGCATGCACAGCATGGGAGTTATCTTCTCCCAACAGCAGGTCCTGTTCTTCATCACTTTGTTCATAGGAAGCATTAGAAAGAATGTTAAAATGCTAAATTGTGAAGATTTACAGCAACATTTTTCTATGATAACCTTATATTTATGCTAATTGGAAAGTACTTGGAGTATCATGCTGGTCTTATAGTACTACTATACGTAATCCATTTTCGTTTTACAGCTTGGGAGACACATTAGCTGGAGTTGACTGAACAGATTTTGCTAGGTGATAAAGATGTCTTCCTCTAGACTCACCTTGGTTGCTTCCCCTCCTTGATGAATCTTTTCCTTTAAGTCACTTTAGGGGCAGCACTGCTGGGAAGCAGCAGGAATCCTCCTGCAAGAGATGAGGATTCATGTCAGGATGACACTGCTGTGGGTTCACACAGGTAACACTGTCCTTTTTTTTAATTATGTGGTTCCTTTGGATCAGGCTCCAAAGCTGACCATCAGCTCTCATTTCTAGGTGCCTTGACTCAAGTCTAAAGCTCCTGAGTGGCTGGAGTTGGCTCCTCAGTCCTTTACTTCACCCTCATTTCTGTGCCCTACACATTCTCTACTCCACTTTGGAATAGAGATTTGAATCACAATTTCCCAGATGCCAGAGAGTGCCTTAGCCCCTACCAAACAGGTTTGCGGTACTCCTTTGTCTGGTTCAGGGACTGTTTTGCTATTCAGAGCAGGCTGAGATGCCCTGGCAGGCAGAGAGCCTGGCTCTCAGTCCAGGACTGCCAGTTACCAGGTGCCCTGGGCACTCAGCTGGTGAGCATGCTCTTGCTCTGACTGAGAAGAATCTGCCAATCATTCTGAAATCCTCTCCCTTTGCAGCAGATTTGTTACTCCATGAGAAAGTTGACAGTTCTTCTAAGAGAAGCCTCTTAGAAAAAATACTGATGTGCCTAAAGCCTTTCTTCATCCACTGACATCTCATTTCTTTCTACTCTCTTTGGTATCCTTTTCTGGAAATCTAATCCTCTCACGTTCTTGGGGAAACCTGCCTTTGGCAAAGACATTTAATGATCCAGAGTTTCTGATGCTGACCCTAAATCAGTTTTTGCAAATATTGCTCATAAGCTTTCTTATCTTCTCTCGGTGCTGCTCATTGCAAACAGGACAGGTTTTCTCTTTGGTTTTAAGAAAAAGCCTCTCTGATTTGCAAGTTAAACTATTAAAAAATAAAACTAAAAGCTTGATACATACTGTCTTATAAAAACCCTTAACTATATCATGATTTTGCAATACTTTTGTCAGAATTAAGTTATAAATTCTTACATTGAAACTGCTGTTTTACAGAGAGAATATCACCTAAAAAAGACACTGTTAACTTATGGTAGCGGGTAATGCCAATTCCTGCAGTCTGGTCCTAGTCTTTCTTTGAACATTTGTTAGGGAAAATATGTGAAATTGATTAATTTCTTAAGTATAATAATAGCAGCAATATTATACTGTAGTTAAGGTTATTTGCATAACTTTAAAACACTTACAGAATGCTCAACATTTGGTGCCTTAATACAGAAGTCTCTTCCCAGTAACAATTAGGGTTTGTGGTGCCTGCTGCAGTAGCTGCCACAGCCCTGAGGGTCTCAGTCCCCGTTTGCCAGGCACAGGGCACCATGCAGTGCCCCCACCTCGGCTGGGGTCAGTCTCAGGGTGTTGGCTGAATAGCTCAGAGCTCAGCTGTAACAAGGGGACCAGCAGGGTGACAGTGGCCTAATGTCTGCAAGAATTTGCACAGGGGGAACAGGGCAATGGCGAGAGCACAGAATAAATCAAAGTGTGAAAGCAACTGCAGTCAAATGTCACACCCAGGCACTCAGGGGCCAGGCATGCTGCTTGGAAATAGGTTGGGGTACCTGTCAGCATGGCATTTTCTTTCTGTTGCTGGAGAATAATGTTATCTGAGGATAAAACCTAAGGAGCACAGATGGTTGTTATACAGATCTGACCCTCTAAACCCTTGTCATAGCAAATTATTCCATTGACGTAAATGGGATTACTCCTATGTAAAAGATCTGTTATATTAGCTAATTCTTCCATTATTGAAGTTATCTGTTGAATTCAGTTTTGTTGCTTTGTGTGTGCTTGTGTATGCCTGTACATCTGTAATTAAATAACATTATCCATGGGACAAACTCTGTCATAGCCTAACAGTACTTCAGTCACAGTCATTATGTAGGACTGTAGGATATAAATTCTCACTTTATGAGAAATTGGAAACATTATTTCTGCACTTTCTAAACACAGAGATATAAACCCTCATTTGACTTTGGAACTTTCTTGCTTGGAAACCATCAGCCCAGAGTCCAACACCTGTCTAAAGTCTAATGCTTCCTTTTGTAAAAACATAGACATTGAGGACTTGTGATTGTGGAGCAAGAGGAGTTTAAACTGTAAGGAAGAATAAAACAGATTAAAATTTAGAATCAAGCCTTCTTTGTTTTTACATATTGCGAATTACTTTATGTATTATGGTGCAAATCTCTCAGCATTTCTTGAAATACTTTTTTGTTTAAATGTAAATAATTTTTTCAGCTGCTATTTCTGTTGTCAGACAAGCCTCTACACTCTGTGAATCTCTCATGAACAAGGCCTTACCCCATTCATTGTCTTAGGAAACAGTCCTGCTGGCTTCAGAAACATCAGAATAAGGTAAATTGCCCTCAGATGGGAATCTTGCAACCAAGAAATGGACTCAGTTGCTTAACTTTACCATGTACCTTGCAATGTCACTGCGCAGTTTGGTTAGAAAACGCTTCTCACTTCCTTTTGTCTGCTTAGAACAGAAGCCAAACCCCTTGAAAGCCCTTATATTCAGGAAAAAAATAAGGGAAAATATTGAATCCCCGCCCTCTTTCACTTTTGAGGGGAAAAAATTACAATTTTTGCATAAAAGCCACACAGTTCAGCTCTGAGCTTGGCAACTTTCAGTGCTGTAGTAGCTGGCCATTATTTGGATCTTGCCATTTACTGTCTAGTCAACTATTTTTAATTTGAGGATACCGTTTCCCCAGGAAAATCTGAAATGTTGGAGTAGAAACTATCCCTGGTTTGGGGTTTGAAGCCCTGGGTCACATGGCCACCCTTATTTTTTAAATCATGCTGGCATTACGGGACTGGGTAGTGGCAGACTGGTTGCACAGAAACCTGCCATGGTTTTTGAAAACTGGATTCCCTCTAATTAAAAACACACCGTGAATTCTCTTAAAAAAAAAAATATCATAGCATGGCTGATTTCTATTATAGCTGTCACTGTCACACCACGGATTCAGCTAACTGAACCATTTTTTATGAATAACACTTAGTTTGAATTCTGGCACTTTTAATTGAGTGAATATTTTTTCATTATTTTTCCAGGGATGGATTGCAATAAATCTGACCACAATGTTTCTGACCCAAGATTTTTTTAAAAAACAGAACCAATGTGATGACCTGCAAATGTTTTGCTTATTTTTATTCTATTTACTCCAGAATTCTCCTCTAGTAGGAGCATACTTCTTCACTAAAGGGTGGAAAACACAATGGTATTAGTCCTAGGTTCTCACACACAAAGGCTATGAGGAAAAAAACATGGAACCATTTTCACAAATAACAGACCAGCCCAGAGCTCTTCTTAAAAAACAATGCAAGGAGACTTTATACAGCTGTCCACGCAGAAAACAGACAATTCGTGTGGTTTAATATTTTTTCACAGAAACTTTTTTGCCTCTGCTATAATGGAGCATTCATCATTGCCCATTATTTGAAGAAGCTAATCCATAGAAATTGTTTGGAGCTGATTTTCTGGACTTTACCTGAATCTCACTACATGTCCATGTGACTTGTAGTGTTACAGACAGTGACTTGTCTGCTGACACCAGAGAAGAGCTCTGTATGTTAAAATGAGTGGGCCTGACAACATAAACGTTAATACAACAGTGCCAGTGAAGCACAGTACAAGCTAATTCTGACATTCATTTCAGAAGCTGTAATTTAATTCACTCATAAATGAGCTTGGTACAAATATTAATTTGAAGTCGTTTATATTTCTCATCTGCTGGCTGAAGCTTGCAAACAATAGGGGAAAGGTCTTGCTATACTGCTACAAATAAGTAAACAGTCTTTTCTGCCAAGAAGACTCCAGTGTAAATGCAGAGTCAGGGAATAATTTTTTGCCTAATTTATCCTGCATATGGATACTTGGAAACTACAGATGCTACATAACGATCTCTATCTACAAATATTTCCCAAAGGACGAGAGAACTTCAATTGCACCTAGTTTATAATAAATCACTGCCATGGACTGCTGCTAGCCTGCATTAGAGAAGCACTGTGGACAGGGTGAGGTGTGGGTGAACAGTCTGGCTCAGCCTTAGGAGCACAATTCCCACCTGAGGTCAAAGCAAGGCAAGGTCAGAAGTTGGGAAGAGGACGTGAAGAGGATACAGAAGAGAAAGAAAACCTCAGTCTATCAGAAAGCAGCTGCAAGAGCTTCTCTGTAAATATTTCCCTGCCTTCCCTTCTCTCTTTCTCCCCCAGTGCTTTTTCCCTCCATGCTTTGACCTGTTCCTGGGGCTGTTTTTCCTACTCTTCCATTATTCTGTATATACCACCAACCCCTATCCCAGAGATAGCAGGAGTGCAGGGAAAACAAGGCTGCAAAATGAACTGTCTGTATTTGTATTGGTTTCCAGCTCCTTCTATGAACAGACATATGGTGTTAATCTAAACTGTCCTACACATTAGTGGGAGGGAAGTATCACCCAGAGGATTATTACAACATTTTACCTGGCAGATGCCACCATATTTATTGATATGAAAATTTCCTCCTTCCATATCAGCCACTGAAACCTCCCTCTGTGAAATTCCCTTTATTTTCAGCATAGCTCTATTAAAATATTTTGTTAAACTCCATAAGTTTTACCGTGTCTAGAATGTACATTCATTATTCAGGAAAGTTATCACTAAAGTCAATAGAAATTTAAAGTAATGAATGATGTGCTTATTGTAGTTGGCTGGTTGAACACATTGCATTTTTATGAGTAATTTCTGTGGGCTCCATATATATTTGTCCATATGTATGCATAGGTATGTATATGTATGTATAAGTATATATATGCATATAGATTTGTACATTTGTGTATATATGTATTCTTGATTTTGATCTTCAAACCAGTGATTTTATATCAAATATTCCTGAAGAGAACACTAAAATCAATTAATAATGGTACAAAAAAATGCTAAAAAAGAGGGTTAAAGTAAAGCATCATTGAATTAACTTCCAGATAATCCTGAAATTTGTAATAGTGTCAAGCCAAATCTGGAAAGCATTTATAAAATAATGCAGAATATATTTGAAAA